CAACCGTCGAGCACTTGCGTGAAGAATGTCGCACCTTTCGCCGGACGGCAGGTTTACGGCCCTTATGCGGTGCGCTAAACTAACCAAAGGATTCTAAACGCATTTGACAGCTGCTAAAGGCCATGAGATTTGTAATGTGTTTGCTTTCTTCTTCATTGAGTATGCCGAGATAATTCAAACACACCGTTCAGACACAGGTTTTGGGCGTCGGCAAAAGCTCGTCCAAAAAGGCTTAGCGAGGAGTAGGGGACGCTTGTTAGGGCCTCTGTGTGGTTAACCAATCTTAGCGTTCGCGAAACATCCATCTTCGATCAGCATGCCATTTGGGTGGGAGATATATGATGACACGAGGAAGACTTTATAGAAAATTTGCTTCAGTAGTGAGGTAAAGTGTATTGCGTTTTGTTAGAAATGTATATGCCAAAGTTGAACTCAACTGTGAGACTCCTATGGGGATACGGCTTGTTTTTCGCTCAACGAAGAAACAATAAGTGGGCATTTAGCAAATAATATACATGTAGGGCTCGAGGTGACCGAATTTTAGTTGCAATTCACTGGTACTTGACAGTATTATTCAAATTGATCTCAACGATACACTCATGGGGTGGGGTGACTAAGCCACGTTTTACTACGTTCGCATACACATGCACAATATTCGGCATTTCGAAAACCCGCAAAAGTGCCCCAGTCTTCCTTCTACATTGCTCGAGAACAAGTGTATCACACATTCCTGAGAAGTCAGATAATCGAAAACGCAAGCAGCGCATTCGGTCACAGCGTGTTAGCATGAACTGAAGCTGCTCAATCGAAACCAAAACTTTTCGGCCTACTATTTCCCAGAGTGCACTGCATGGCGTTTCGCCGCGGTGGGGCGCTTCGAAGTTCGGAAGATGGACGTACGTAAGGAAAAACTAACAAAAAACGAGGTGACGCATGGTGGCGGTCGCCGCGGCGCACCGGCGCGGTGCAGTTTGTCCTTCATATGTTGCACCGAATCAGCGACTTTGCGTGTCGCGACCGAGGAGCGATGTGCACTGTCCTGGTTTTAAGGCACTTCCGGTGCGAGTTGATCATAGGTCTCAAGCTCAGCCCATGCTCTATGCTTCGCCAGCTTCAGCGCCTGACTATGGTGAACGCTGACGTTATGTAATTAGCGTCAGATCACGTAGCCACTTGTAATTATTGCGAGTTGAGGAGGGAAAGCTTTTTTCCTTTGTTTTTTTCTGCATGCGCGTGCGGCGCGTTGACCTTTATTACCAGCATGTTGATGCCTGGGTAACTAGCAATAGGTCTACTACTGTACCTGGCGCCGAATATTTTGTACTGCGTTGTCAAAGCTAGCGCAGCTTCCGCAGCGTTCTAATTTTTTTTAAGAGCCGGTTGTGCATGCGAGAGGAAGCTGCGTACTGTCGCAGCAGTGCGTCACTGCTACACTGTGGAAGCTACGCTGGGCTTCGCAATGCAGCACGAAATGGTTGACGCCGAGTATGGCTGCAATGGTTAGGTCTCATAAATATTGGGCACTCGACTATCAAAGCATCTGTCACTTCATTGTAGACTACTTGCTTGTACCGTGGAAAGGGTTTAGCAGCACTCGAAACATTTGCAAGGAGGACGAACCAACAGATAGCAACCCTAATTTGACAGCGGACATCGCGTTAAAGTCATCGTGGCCGACAACATTACTCCGAAGGGTGTGTTTTTATTTACTTTCCAGTGAGATCTAAATCAATGTTTTTTGTGTGTGTTTGCAGCTTGCCTTTAGCTTGGCGAAAAATATTCCTCATCCACTGGTTCTGAACTCTGTTACAAGAGTAGAAGGGGGTCAATGACCGGACGTGTTAACGCACCGCAGCTCAGATACCATGGATGAAAGCTCTTGCTGCAGAACCCAGGAATCCGAAGTTTGATCCCCACCCCTTCCAGTTTGGATCTGAATGAGCGTCGCACCGGTGCGCTGTTTTCTGCCGCCACTGCGCGATGCACGTTAAAGGGACACTGACACCTTCAATTTTTTTTTATATTTTACCATGCGATATGAATGGTCTCAGAAGACTACCCAATCGATATTCTGCTGCAGCGTCACAGATATCTTTCAGAAAAAAAAACGCAAAAAAAAAAAAAAACACAACTGCTTGAAACCGAAACTGGACTTTTGGAGAAGAAAAAAACAGAGGAGGAGATGGTTGCTAAAGGTCACGTAAGTGTGCAACGTTTGTTTTTTAATCAAAATATTGCAGTTTTTTTAAAACGTTCTAGAAGCCACAAAAATGGGTATTATAATATTTTTTAATATATTCTCCGTACCTTTGATGACCCACGACTTTGATTGCATTTGGTGGTTGTGCCTAAATCACAGAAAACTGCACATGACCACGGAGAAGAGAGTGAGCGCGACTCACACCGGACAGTTTTCGATCGGCGGTTTTCAGGGCGGAAAGAAACCGAATTTCGAGCTGCAAATTGTGTTCTGGGTACTTGGCCTCTCAAATGTCATGTACAAACAAAAACCTTGGTTAGCATAAGTACCATGAGCGTGTCCCTTTAAGGACCCCAGGCTAGCGCTCGTACTGCACTGGAAGAATTCCTCGTATTCAGTGGAGATGCCAGACGCCCATTGGAGCTCACTAACCTCCTGCTCTCTAAAAATGAATGCGACACAATTACAGTTACGGGAGCCCCGTGGAAAACGGCTTGACTTGAATGAGACGGCGTGTGGCAGGTGTCTTTGGAGCTTGACCCCATTAAACGATTCGTATGGAACCAAATCAGTCTTGAAGTTATGGTAACTTCATCGTTTCCAACTCTTTAATAAACATAATACAGTGGCGGTGACTTCACTATGGCCGGTCATGGCCTAGAGCAGCCCTTGCTCAGCTGTCCACTGACTTTTAGGAGTCCTGCTGATTCGGAGATCTTCCGCCAGAGAAGTGTCCTCAGTAGTGTCCAAATCCCAGAAAAAGGTGTGCACGGTGATAAGGGTTTGGTTGGGGAAGACGAAGGCAGCAAACTAGGAATTTTACGAGAGGTTTGTGGCAGTGGCAAATGAATATTGGACAAGATTAAATTTCTCTAAGTCGCGCTGTAAGTAATTATGAACTCTTACCAACTCGCCCAATTGTCCATTTTGCTAACTTTCAAAAATTGAGTTTTTATGCGGTGAAATGAATATGGTAAATTTTAGTCACTTCATCTCCTGCAATTTTGCTTTCTCGGTTCGAAAGATAAAGTAAGGAGGACTTTATCATCTGACACTTTCGCTGCCTCCCCATGCGTGAGTTCGCCGTGCAATCAAGACTCTAAAAGCTCAGAAGTTATTTATATTCGTCAGACCATTGCCTATACAGTATGGGAACTCCGGGATACACGTTCGAAAATATCAAATTTTTTTTCGTACATTGTGAGGAATATTTATTGAGTTACGTAAGACCATCGATGGGTAAATCCTAAATTGTATTTCAGCGCGTCGCCTGCATACGAAGCAATTAACCCAACTGCCACGGTACCAGTTGCAACTTGTGCGCATCTTTGATAGTCTTTCGCAATGCTCTCTTTACCCTGTTGCCACGGGACGACGTCACGACCGTACATCATGCAACCCGCTGGACATGGTGCTGGCAAGCATGGTGATGGGAACGCGTCCACGACTGGTGTGCTTAACTGCTTAACGCACAATAAAAAAAAAGCCCCTCGATTTCCGCTTGATGACGTCGAAGATGTGTCATGCTGTCGTCGACCCGGAACCTAGGGGTGTCACAACAGCGGTGATAAATGTGGCAGAGGACTGTTTACTCCAGCTTAACGGTGTACACAGAAGCTTCGGAAGCTAGCTGTTCAGACGCTGCGACGACAGCGACACTGGCGTTTGCTTGTGCTTTTTGCCGGAACTTCTACTGCCAGTCACCAGGATCGCGACATCCGACAGCATGGCATCCCGGCTTTTGTGACGTTATTTGCTGCCACTTTGGGACTACTTTCGATGTATGGGTTAAATAGGACGTGAAACAAACCCATCAGAGACGCGTTGCAGACACCGTAATACTGGTAAAATATTAGAGCTTTAGGGAACCGCTTTTGCACATCCGATATGGTATACGATGGGCCCTTCGACACGAACTGCGCATGCTCTACCACAGAATACTCGCACATGCGCAGTTCGTACCATCGTACCTTATCGGATGTGCAAAAATGGTTCCCGAGAACTCTTATCGAGTTCAGGGTTTTACCAAGGGGATCAAAGTGTCCGTTACCTCCAGTGGAACAGTAGAGCCAACTTCTTCTGGAATGGACAGCAGTTGACGGTTCGGCATGTCCGAGTACAATTTTGTCATACCGGAGTTTAAATTAAAAAAAAAGAGCGTGACTAGTGTTTACGTTTTTAAAAGATACCTGATGGATATGCCACTCGATATCCTGGACACTGCTCAAAACGCAAGCATCACGCGAGGCCATGAGAAGTTCAAGAAATAATGCTTCATATGTTTTCTTTTTTTTTTTACAATTTATAAAGCAAAACGCAGACCGCGACACAAGCAGGTGTCTCCTTTCTCGCCTTCATTTTTTAAAGAATAACTGAAGGTGAAAACAAAACACCCATACCTATAATGTATTTAGTGAAAACGTGCGTTGTGCATCGGCCTGCCTTGTCGGCTCCGTGAGCTGAGTTTTTACTTCCAGGTTACATCCTTCCGACAATCTTCTCAGCTTGTTACTGTTAAAGAGCTAATAGATTGTACAACAGAACCCAAAGAGAAACGATATTTTTATGCCTTTATTAGTTTTTAATTCCGCCAACAATTCAATCGCGACAGGGAAAACATAACAACCATCATCATCCCGTGGCCTTGAAGCTTTTGTGACGTCACTCATATTCTAGGGAAGCTACACTCTTGATGAAACTTCAGCACTGCCACTTCGTGTCGGTACTTGAGAAAGAAAATGCCTGCTCATAAGAAGCGGCCAAAATAAGGTTGAACGACGATCTCGGTGGAAGATCAGGCTCAGGGTGGGGTGCAGTCGGGGGAGGGAACGACGTAGCTCTTGGCAAACTCCAGGGTGTCGTTGTAGTGGTGGAGGTCGGGGCCCACAAGCTCGTGCTGCCTCTCGTGGTTGTAGTCGCCGCAAAGACCGCATAGCTTGCCGCGGTAGATGTTAGCGGTCTGGAGAAGAGAGAAAGATGCGGGTTAGCGTGAGGCTATCTGAATTTTATCGCCAAACGGTGGACAGAAGGGTAGGAAAGGTCCAACAAAACGCTCTCCCTGCAATGCAATACTAAGCAACCTATTGATTTCTCGTATGCAAGACTGACAGTCTCACAAAGATAATAACTTTTTTTTTTATATACAGTGGGTTTTAAAAGTTCTGGAACGTGAACATTTCTGTCTGAAATATGCTTCGTTGAATGGAACCATAGTAATAAAAGGGAAGCACTTTGGGTGACTTTCTTAGAAAATTGGTTTTTAGTATCTTATTTTTGGTTCTACTCTAACGATTTATTGTTTTGTTATTTAGGACAGCTTTAAGACAAATGATTTCTTCTGTGAAGAATGTCTGTGGAACACACTTTCCGGTGTTCGACCTATCGCTTATAGTAAACTAATCATGCGTGCATCTGCTGGTTTCCACCTGCGATGTGTGCTCAAATTAGTTTACCTGTACGAGGAGGATGTTCCCGTCGAATCCGAGGAACAGCCCATAAGGCAGTGACGTCACTTCGTAGAATTTGTCCGCCTGCGTGATTGTGAAGAGCTCGACTTCGTGCGTGGTGTGGCTGTACGGTACTCCCGGGGTCAGTGGTACTCTGTTTCCGTCAATGTGAAACTCCAGTCTTGCGCCGTGGGAAACTGGGAAGAGGTCGACCTTCGTAGACTGGATAAACACCTTCAGCGCCTGGAAAGATTGTTCCAAAAGAAGCTATCAGTGACCTGAGCGCGGAAATTACGATGTATATTTCTAAGTTTGTAATCAATTTGATGAGAGGAATGGCTGTCAGCGCGAATGGCTGTCAGCGCGTCCCGTACAACTTTCAGACGGAGTCTGAAAGTTGTACGGTCGTGTTTTTCCAAGCTCCCCGAGAGACGCACGAGGATATGAGCATCAACGGAGCGGCTGCGTTGGATGGGACTGGCCAGTCGGGAGGGGAATACCGGATGTCCCTCCCGGCTCTCCCATCGGGCAAGCGATTTGCAACCACCGTCTTCTTGCACGGCGACCCTAGGGTCAACCCTTACAACATAGGAGACTTTGCCAGATCTCTGGACGCCGCAATCGGGATGAAGAATGTGGCGGCTCTTGGCGCCTTTCAGCTGAATCACGTATGGGTATTTATTTTTTATTTTATTTACATTGTACCTACATCGCCCTGTGGGCATTATTGTAGGGGGTTTTAGAAAACATTATAACAAGTGGAAAAAGAAAACGTCATTATCATCAATGGACACAATATCTTCCGGGAGGTCGTTCCACTCTCTCGCGGTTTTGACAAAAAATGAATTCGCGAAACTGTCAGTCCTGTAAGTGGGAACAGCAACCTTTTTAGAATGATCACAACGGGAAGAAACGTAGGATGGCTCCATAAGATAAGTGGCTTTATCGATTCCTGTTTTGTTGTGAAAGACACGGTGGAAAAATTTTAGTCTTAGTTTTTTTCGTCTACATTCGAGTGTTTCCCATCCCAGCATGCTTCACGACGTGGAGCATGCTGGGATGCACGCTTCACGACGTGGAAACACGGGATCCTCTTACTTCTCTCGGAGAACTGACTGTGAAGGAGATGAGATGCGTCATCGACGACCCTAATGTGACCGAGGCATCGCTTCGGGTGCACTGGCTGCCAACCTACGTGAACGACGAAGAGGTGAGCGCCGTTTTCCGATCCTTCGGCAGGATCAAAGACATTCGACGAGAGATGTGGAGGGCGCCGGGTGGCGAGTACGAGATTGAAACTTCTACCAGGATTGTTACTAGGGATGCCGCGAACTTTTTTCGAATCGAAGTTTCGATGATCGAATCAAGCGGTTCGAAAGGTTCGAAAGATTTCGATTTTTCGAATTGTCTATATCGTAAAATTCGACGGAGGTCGAATTTTCGAACTTGTTAAGCTAAGAAGTTCGACGCTTTTCGAACCGTCGAACTTATTACGCAAAAAAATTCGATCTTTTTCGAACTTTTGAACTTATTGCGCTGCAAGGTTCGATGCTTGTCGAACTTTCGAATTTGACTGACCAAAAAATTCGATGAATTTCGAACTTTCGAACTTATTTATCAAGAGAATTCGAAAAGTTTCGAACTTTCGGATTTTGAAAAGTCAGAAGTTCGACGAACTTCGAACTTTTAGGGTAAAAGTTCGACGTTCGTCGAACTTCGAAAGACCGGCGGACGGTTTCATTTGATTTCAAGTAGTGGGGTACATTCGTAATTTTTTTTTCTCGAACTTTTACACGCGGTGCTGCGTTCCTTACGAAAGACAATGTCGTTTATTTCAATGTTCTGGCATGCTTAGGTTTAAAGAAATAAATCCCCGAAGGGGCGAGGAAGGGCGACGGGTTTTTGACGATTATCGTTTGTGCCAGATTTGAAGCACGCTGCAGCCGGAGCTATTTATGGTAGATATGTTATACTTTTTTTTAAGAAGGATCTATGTATAGCCTAGGTAAGTGCCGTCTTAAGATGTGATTATTGTTATTCAACGTGAGTTTCGAAGAAATGTCCAAACATGTATCTGCATGCAATTATAACCTAAACTTGATATTTATTTTCGTCTAAGTTGTTTGAGGTATCGCATTTAAATTAACACCACAGACAGTACATATCATTGCCATCTGCAGAATACGAAATAATATATTTATTGTTTTTTCACGTTAAGGAATAAATTAACTCATGGGAGAAGATTTCTAATAGTGTTCAAGTTCAGCACGTCATTAAAAGAAAACTTTTTTTTTCGCTTCACGTTCCTGGGACGTGTTTCTTTTAGCCTGTACAGATTTTGGTAAAAGAGACTTGTTTCGAAGTTCTGAATCTCTGAATATGCAAGAATAGAACACTTCCGACGAATTCTTGATAGATTTTTTTTTCTCCTGCTTTTTATTCCCGCATTTATTCTTTTTTTTTTTTTTTTTTTTTTGTTACTATCGGCACAGGTGTGTAGGTCGAAAAGACAGCTTTGAACTTCCGAACCACTAAGCATGTGACGAGCAGTGCCTTCTGACAACGAGTTTCTAACAATGACCATCTACGCAACCTTTTACGCAGTGAAGAGCGACAGTAGCCATACATATGCATAAATAATTTCAGATTAAAATAAGCTCGACCACGCCCTCTTTCCCCGTATTGTTTTCTTTAACAGTTCGAAAGTTCGAAATACCGGCAAAAAAAAAAGGAGGCTGAAGCCCCCCCCCCCCCCCCCCCCCCCCCCTTCCCGCTACCCTCTTTCCCCCCGTTTTTCCTCTTCCGACGCCACTTTTATGGTAGAACGCTCCTCGACCTCGAGTTGTGTCGGCTTTTGTGCTTTTTGCGAGGCGATTCCTCCGTCCCAGAAAATAAACCTCCAGGACATTTATAAACTTCACCGGATCGGATTACTACCAGCGTGCAAGGGGTGGCGAGGTAGTTTGCCAGGTCGCTTCAAGGTTTTTCTGAGCCTCAACCTCCTGCTCGTTCTGGCCGTTTCGAACTGGATGAGTCTCGTAAAACAGTGTGTTCGTGCAATCACTACTGCGTGATGCAGGTTAAAGACCCCCCCCCCCCCCCCCCCCCCCGGGCTGGCGGTCACAATTCTGCATTGGCAAATATTCTAGCACGTCCGGGACACTCACCAATTTCGCAGAATCTAGATATCACACCCTAACTTTTCTAAACTTGATTTCATGAAAACCAGTGAGTCGTGAAAACGTTATTTGAAACTGAAACTGTGGAAAAACTTGAAAATCGGACTTCGAACTTTGAAAACTTGGACTAAAAAAAAATTCAAAATCTTCAAAGTTTTTTTTTTTTTTTTTTTTAATTTAGCGTTAAAAGAGAATCGAAACCTTCGAACTTTTCGAACTTTATGCAAAAAGAAATTCGAAATCATCGAATTGTTCGAACTTCGTGTCTATAAAAATTCGAAGCGTTCGAAGTTTTCGAATTTTTTTTACACAGAATTTCGAGATCTTCGAATTTATCGAACCTAAAGTAAAAAAATATTCGAAATATTCGAATTCGAAATTTTGGAAACCGTGAAAGCTTCGAAATTTTCGAATTCGAAACTCCGCTGTGGTCAAAAGTTGCGAATTTTTCGAAATCGAACCTCGGTCGGTACGAAAATATCGAAATTTTTCGAAATCGAACCTCAGTTCGCTTCGCAAATATCGAAATCTTTCGAAATCGAACCTAGGGTGGTTCGCGACATCCCTAATTGTTACTCTCTCGCTTCGCGACGGGCTGACCAGGGATGAGCTGCCGCACCAGGCGACAGTTTCCGGCTATCCGGTCCTTCTGTCAATGGCTGGCCGGCCGCCTCTTTGCCTGCGCTGCAGGCAGGTGGGCCACATGGGACGACAATGCAGGGCTCGTTGGTGTAGGCTGTGCCGGGAAGTGGGACACACGGAGGACGACTGTGCTCGAACCTACGCAGCCAAGGCAAGAAAGCAGGTGACCACCCCGGCAAACATACAACTAATGGACCACGATGAGGCGGAAGAGACCAACGAGCAAAACCCGACGGCAGTGATGGCGGCGATAGCGGCTGAACCGACAGTGGCCGCAGAGGCGGTGGTGGGTCCCGGGGCCGTGGCCGAGAAGTCGGAGACACACGTTCGTGACAAATCGGAGGCTGGTGAACAAGGGAAACCCGACACACCGAAAGCCGATGCTTCGGAGGACACGGCCACTCCGACGCAGTCAGCAGCGGAGGCGACCGCTTCGCCAGCGGGGGCAGCCGCTCCCGTGGTTAGCTCCAAGCTTGGTCCTACACCAAAAACCTGTTCCAAGGAAACAAGGGGGCCGATCAGGCAAAGTTCCAGGCAACAAAGGACCAAGGACGAATAGGCCCCCGAGCATCGGCTCCCTCTCGTACTCGTTTTTCTCCGTACTGTCGTGCCGTCGATGGGAATTAGGGAAGACCGGTCCTGGTCCGCTTGGTGAGTGTCATGTCTCGGTCTCCGTTCATCAACCTGTTTTTACCTTGGTCTTTATTTGCTTGCTGCTTTTCCTTTGCTTTATTTCTTAGTCTGCGATGTTCTTGTTTGTCAGAGCCTACCTTTTTCACATGTCTGCCATTCACCAATCGATGCACTTTAAACCCGAATCGAGACAATGTCCTTTTGCCATTATAACATGAACAAAAAAGAGTACCCACTGCCCAACGAAGTAGGGCGAAAATTAAGCGCCCGCTCTACTACTCCCCTTTCTCTGTTTCATTTAAGCATTCAATCAGTACGGAACAAGTTTGATGAGTTAAATATATTTTTAGACAATTTTGGTGTCTCTTTTGATTTTCTTATGTTAACCGAGACGTGGTGCCGTCCTGATGAAACGATGGACCCTTTGGATGGATACACCGGTTATGGCTTAAAGGGACACTGACACCCCCAAAATTTTTTTTCCATTTTTTGCCAGGCGCTTTATTATGGTGTCGGAGGACTACCCAATTAATATTTTGCAACAGGGTAGCGTATTTTTTTTAATAAAGCCAAAAGACGCAACTGCTCGAAACCGAAACCGAAACCCGACGGAGGTCGGAGAAGTGGAGAGAAGAGAGTGGAGTGGCGGAAGTCACGTGGCTACACTCGACCGTGCGTTTCTTTTTTTTTTTTCTCCTCTCCGTAGCAGACGACACGACATGCGGCGTACGGGAACTGTTCGCCGTGCGATTCTTTTGCAGTCATGTTTGTTCTGCTCGTTGTTCTGTA